GAACTCACAGCCTTCCTTACCCAAAAAAGAAAGAAAAAGGAAAAAGAAACGAACTCTCACCGCCGCGCATAAAACAGAGTAGCAGAGCAGGTAGCAATGCATATAGCCGTTGTACGAAGTTCCAAGCCCAAGGCGTAGCTCAAAAGCGCGCTCATGGAGAAGCTGAAATCTCTGGTTCCAGAAACCCTAAAGCGAATGATCGGAGAGAGCTCTGCTGACGATCTTCCTCGCACATGTTCTTCTCTCGGCGATTTTCTTCTTCATTTCGAGCCCTTTCACCAAGTATGTCATTATTTTTGTACATTCTAATTTATGAGCTTCGAGAAACGAACAATAACAGAATAAATGAAGCATAATTACAATTTGAGTCTCCATATATTTGAACATTGATGAATGAATTAGCATATTTGGGTTAGCATATTTTCGTTCACAATACACGCAGTAATTGTTGAAGGGTAAGAGAAAATCCCTGTTGATTTACTAGGCAGTCTTCTCCAACGCCATTTACAAGTGCGATTCTAAAGACTATTTTTCGACATGATGAAACATTTATTTTATTGTCATGGGGTGGGCACGGTCCGGTTCGGCCCGGTTCTCCTCTAAACCCGAAACCGAAATTGGTACTGTTCATCCAGTCCGGTTCAGTCCGGTTTTTCAATTAAACACCTAAGAGAACCGCACCAACCCGAACCGGTTTATATCCGGTTCAGTTTCCGGTTTTACAATTTGGACCGGCCCTTGGGCCCAATTGATTTTTTTATTATAAATTTTTAGAGATTTAAGCCCAACTTAAGTTTTTAAAAAAAAATTGGGCCTACAAATTCACAATTAGCCCAATTCCCACCCAATCATCCCAAACATTAAATTTAAAATTACAAGCCAATAACAAAACAAATACACATAATTGCAAACAAAATTACTAAAAAATTATAGAAATAACATTTAAACTACTCCATTTTCCACTGAAAAAAAAAGAAAAAAAAGCTTCATCTTCCCCTTGTTCTTTCTCGGAGGCAAGGGCAACACAAAGAGGCATCTTCTTCAAACCTTCTCTATTAAGCTCTCCCAGCCCCTGGATTTCCTGTGCAAAGATATACTGCTTCTTCTGTTATCTGCTGCTGTGAAGCCATATGAGTTGACTGCAGGTGAGAAAGTATGTCCTCCATGATATGATTGCACAAAAGTCTTGTCCAATGAATTACTAAACTTTGGAGAATCGGAAACTACATTCATGTCATTGTTATGTGTTCTCAACTTATCTACCCTGTAGGCTTTTGTCAATGCATTGTTGGGTGCCAAAATGGTAATATAACTTCCTGCTACTCTGATTGATTCACCATCACTAAAAGTTATATTTCTTCTGATGCAGGATGGTTCATGGATGGTAAATATATATATATTATATATATGCATTAATTCTCTTATTTATATCTATATGATTCAATTAATCCAAGTACTTTTATTTCATAAAATAATCAATATTTTATGACCAATAATAATTTGTGCGCGTGCTTTGAATTTGCAGTATTCCATGTGAAAGATGAACACGGGAACAATCTTACAGACCAGAATGTCATCAACTATATCCAGAAGGTGATTATATTATTTGGTTTCTTCATGATCAACGAGTTTAGTTAATCAATATTATTGACTTTGGTAGAGAGGCCTTGATAAATGATTTTGCATATATATCATCACAATGTCAACACTAACACGCTTAATTAATACATTGAAATAGGAATCACAGTGTCATTTAAGATCTATTCGTGAAGAAAAAAAAAATCATAAATTTCATAATTATAACTGCCCATTCAAGATTATTTCAAAATCATACTTAAATACGAAATACTTCAAGGAAGTAAGAATAATGCAATTTGTTCTTAAATAAGAAATATTGCCGCCAAAGCAAAATGATTAGAGGAATGCACAAGTAGCAAACTTTTGAAACATTAAACACATTGCAAGAAAAAAATCAGCAAGTCACCCCAACCACAAGTAATTTGAGTTTCTGCTACAACAGATTTTACTTATACAGTCATACTCAATCACATTGACAATATTAAAGACTAAATACAATGACAATATCATTTGATTTCATAAGATTCTAACATAACAGAAAAATTCATTTCTCTAACCTGTCATTTTATGAATCGCTACATAGCCACACACAGATTTTGCACAGAAACAGAGAAAGAGGAGTAGACAAATCCACAGAAAAGAAACATCGGAGTAGAGATCTTATAACCTGCAAAATGTTCAGAGCCTTTCTCATGTCACCATTGCTAAGCCGCACGCCAAGCCACTCTCAGACACATCAACGAGCTTGAAATTTTCATTTTCATTATCTCCAAACAGCAATTAGGGTTTTACTTCGAGCTTGAAATTTTTACAGTAGAAAAAACAACGAGAATGAAACGAAGGAATACTGAACGTTTGCGTTTGATAGAACCCTAAATCAATGATACCCACATCTTCGATCGTGAATCAAATAAAACAAAAAATGAGAGAACGAGGCAACACAATAAGCAATGAAGAATTAGAAAGAGAGTAACTAGCTCACCTGGTTTCGTGACGCCGCCGAGTCAGAGAGAATGAGAGAGAGAAAATTGGAATTAGAAAGAGGAAGAAAAAAGAGAAAGAAGAAGAAACAGAGAGAGAGAGAGAGGCAAAAAATAAAAGAGAGAAGCTGCGGCGGATTGAAAAGATAAGGGAGAGAGGAAGGAAAGAAAAGGTGGTTTTAGGGTTAGGTGTTGGTTGATGGGCTTTTGTTGTTGGGCTTGGCTAAGGTTAGATGTTAGTAGTTGGGTTTGGGAAGTGAGAAAAATTCTGGGCTTAGTTGTTGGGCCACCAAAAAATATATATTAAATACTGGACCGGTCCGGTCCGGTGCTATCTTGTGTAAAATTGGAATCGAAACTGGTTTGAACCGGTCCAGTCTGATCCGGTTCAGTTTTGTTGACTTTTTAGTCAACTCGGTTTTTTCCGGTTTTTTTTCGTCCGGTTTGGTTCGGTTTTCCGGTTTATATGCCCACCCCTAGTCATATATATTACAAATTTACATCAAGATTGACCTGCTAGGTTTTTGGAAATTTCTATCAGTTCGTACACCAGTTCATCTTTACTCCTTGAGATATATTTCCATCAGATTGTTATGCTTTCCTTTATACTGAAGGAACTTTATAAACTAATTATAATAGAATTATCTTTTCAATAACCGTTATTGAGATTATTATTTTTTCACTCAAATCATTGTGGTACGGTTTTTATTGCTCCAAATTAGATATGAAATAACCTTTAAGTTTGTGGAAGAGTTGAAGAAGAGGATTGGTTTAGATTACAATCGGCTATCTCGGAAAGTACTGCGAAGGTATATTTAAAACCAAACAAGTGAGAGACAATTTACAAAAAAACAAAAGCACGCAACAATAGAACCAAATCTAATTAATATAATTTCCATATCCGAGTCAGTACGCACCAAATCTAATTAATAAACAATTAGGGCAAACAAACAACCCACTAAGTTTAGGGTTTAGGGTGTAGGAAAGCATAATATTGGAAAGAGAGGCATTAGTTATCATTTCTCCATTGGATTCTCCTTCTCCTTCTCCTGCTCATTGTTCAGATCCTTTAGCTGCTGATGCGCTCTATTCCCACGCTCAATTAGCTGTTCATACGCTCTAACCAGTTTCTCCATGTCCTTGAGAAAGAAAACTCAGAGTCACCACAAATACAATTAAAAATTAAATAAAAAAGAATAATAAGGAAGCCCTACCGATTTCATCACTTTACGTTGTATTTCTTCGGCAACATGTTTCTCCCACAACCTCTCTAAACGAACCTTCTTCTCCCTCAGGGATTGTAATTCAACAAAATACTCCTTGGACTTTCTTATCCAAGCACCAGCTGCAGCAATTGATCCCAACATTACACACGATGCACGGGTATATACGGAGATATTCAATCGGTACACCTAAGCCTGTGATCACAATAGATTCCGAAAAATTACACACGATGCACGGGTATATACAGATATAAACCGACTGAAAGGTTTTGAATATTCTCGATGATTTTCATTGAACAATCGCGTGATAATTATATACAATGCTTTACTTGGTGTCTACACAAAGGATTTCCTATTCTAGGCAAGAATCTAGTGCTTGAGAGACAAGAAATATATACAGCAAATCAATGAAATAAATACAAATAAAACAGGAAACTAAATCACATCTCATTACAATTTGAGTCTCCATATATTTGAAACCTTTCAGTCGGTTTATATCTGTATATACCCGTGCATCGTGTGTAATTTTTCGGAATCTATTGTGATCACAGGCTTAGGTGTACCAACTGTATATCTCCGTATGCATCGTGTGTAATGTTGGGATCAATTGCTGCAGCTGGTGCTTGGATAAGAAAGTCCAAGGAATATTTTGTTGAATTACAATCCCTGAGGGAGAAGAAGGTTCATCAAGAGAGGAATCTGAATGGTGAATTACAATCCCTGAAGGAGATGGAGGATCGTGTAGAGAGGTTGAGTGAGAGAGACATTGCCGAACAAATACAATTTAAAATGATGAAATCGGTAGGGATTCCATATTATTCTTTTTTTTATTTAATTTTTAATTGTATTTGTGGTGACTCTGAGTTTTCTTTCTCAAGGACATGGAGAAACGGGTTAGAACGTATGAGCAGCTAGAGGAGAGGCTAAAGGAGCGAGAGGAGCTGATAAAGGATCTGATGAATGAGCAGGAGAAGGAGAAAGAGAATCCAATGGGGAAATGATAACTTATGTCTCTCTTTCCAATATTATGCTTTCCTAAACCCTAAACTTAGTAGGTTGTTTGTTTGCCCTAATTGTTTATTAATTAGATTTGGTGTGTGATCGGTTCATAATTGTATATCATTTTGTACCCTTCTAGCTTATGATTTGGTTATGTTTTTTAGTTAAACTTGTGCT